TTAACTGCCAGATTTGTTTTAGAGCAACTCCAAAAAATACAGACAGTACCAGATTAGTAACAATTGTACTCATTAAGGTTGAGTTGAATACTTAAAATGCACCTATCATTGTTTATTCAGCATCTAAATAAGAATTAATCTTTAAAAATTTTGATATTTACGTACAGGTATTTAGCATTTAAGGAGGAATACTATCTTGAATTGTTTGATTTACCTTCAAAATATAATCATTTTGCTATCCCACGAAAAAATATTATAACATGAAAGTAATTTTGACTTTGTCATATTACTATTATTCATATTAAGCAAGGAATTTATAGCTTACTAGAGATGTTGAGATAAGTAAAGGTTGATTAAATTTCAAATCTAGAGTAATCTTATTCTTTTGATATTCTTAAACAGTCCAGTTAGCAATTGATACATTACGAGCTTGATCAGTTTTAATTAATTAAAGATACATTGACTAAGAAATTTATGGGAAATGCTATGAGTCCCAAACCTTAAGATTAACAGGAAAAGTAATTTCAAGTCTACCTGCTTATGAAACCATTGATATTCAAGGTAAGCAACTTTCTTAATTTTATAGAGGGCATTTAGAAATAGCTTCTTCTTCTATTGTCTTATTTAACCAAACCACTTCAATTTTAAAAGTTTTTTTTAGTAGGGTAATTCCAGAATCTTAAGAATCAGTGAATTTAATACTAATGTAATATGTTCCAACATGCTTTTACTTTGGGTTCATCGAAAAAATATTTCCATTCAGCAAAGCAAAGTCTTTTATTGAATTATCCTCAATAAAAACATTAACTCCATCGATATTGAAAATCCTTTCCGGCAAAGTATATATGGTCTCAATATCTGTGTATATTTTTTTGTCTATGAGGTTTAAATCTGTAACTGAATTTACCTTCTCTAGATAAACCGAGGGTAAAAGTACAGCAAGTGTAACTAAAATATATGCTTTTTCCTCGTTATATTCATTATAAGATTGAATATAAAACCTATAATATCCTACTTAATTATATCTTGTACTCTGATATTTGATTGTTCCAGCTACTGGATCAAATTAGATGATTTCAGAATCAAACTGATATGAAGGATTTTGTTGAAGCCTTAATTTGAATCCACAACTTAAGGGAGAACTTGAACTGAAAAACTGATTGACATCAATATTTTTAGGGCTTTCTAGTATCGTATGATTAAGTGAAATTTCTTATATATTCGCCTTTATAACTATTTTAGTACAGGAAATCTCAAGCATAATGTGATAGAAATTTTTCTAGTCTCTATCAGCAAGTGAACTACTAACTTTAATGTAATATGTTGCTTAATTCATATCTGAACCTTCTATTAATGTAATTTTCTAGCCAAGTTTCTGGACAAAAAAGTTTGGGTTAGTTAGTTAATTATAGTTAGAGTCATAAAATTCTACTGAATAGGAAGGTTTTATTTCACAAATGTCATAACTATTGTTCGGGGTTAATGTTAATCCATCATATGGAAAATTTATGATATTAAAAGATTGCTATCCTTACCCTAAGTAAAAAGTAAAATTACTTGTAATATTTGGAGAGTTGAACAAGTAGCAATTATCATTGGAGGTGAATATATCAGATATGCTTTTTAGGGTATAATTAGTTTGAGTCGCTAATACCAATGATAGAGTTTCAAACGAAGATGGAAATCCTTATGTGAGTTAATAGTGAGTTAAGGTGATATTAGCAGCATTACTTTCTTAATACTAATAAAAAACACAAGTCATATCTGAATTTGTTGAGTAAATATAAGAAAGGTATCTACTAGTTCTATTACTTTAAAGCGTTATACAATTGACTCCAGTTTTTGAATACTCAATAAAAAGCATAGCAGATGATGATTTTTAAAATATGGCGGAAGATTAATATTCACTGGCTTGAGTTTTGTAAAATTTTATGAGATAAGCTGTATTTCCAAACTTGTAAAAAATATATTTAAATTCTGAGTTTTAATAAGTTCCATCTCTAACGAGAACAGATAAAAATTATCCAGTATCATTTGCAGTAATTTTTAAATCCAAGCATGCAGTAACATCATCTGTTATAGCTTATAGTACATCTGATGTCCCCATTTATACATTATACCTTCCAAAAAACACGTTAAATGTTTAGGGAGTTTCTTCGCATGAAAAAAATGTATTATCATCATCAAGCATTTAAATTAATTTTCCTCTTGAAATATAATCGTTCTATCCAAAGTAAATAGGATCCTTCAAAAAATCTTTGTCTATGTAGTAGAATTCAAACTATTCTTGTTAATATCCAGTGTATATCAAGTACTTGCATGTACTACAACTGCCTGCGAAAAGCTACTAGCCAGAATCGAAATTGTCATATATTAAGTCTCTAAGCTTTTTTGTCATCTTGATTTCTGATGTAGTTAGATTAATTGAAAAGAGCCAAATATTCCCAAATACTAAATCATAGTCAATAACACTAGAGTATAATATGGAATTAGAATCGATATAAACATTTACAGTTTCTTATGCTCTATTCGAAGGCTAGTACAAGATTTATTTTAAAATCAATCCATCAGTCACATTTATAACAAGATACTATAACCCAGGTCTAGTCAATTGAACAAAAACTGATGAGTATGCTTGTCCTAAAAATTAAAGGAAGCTCACAGCATTATTTCTGTCGTTTCCATTTATTTATCTCATCCATTTGTTATTACCTAATTCATCAAAGTATCCAACAACAGAATTTTCATAATTATCATTTATCGCTTAGATACTTCCTCCAGCAATGATATTTGAATTCGGATCACTATCTAAAATACATAGTTTAACATCTCTGTCATTTTCAACCAGAATAGGAAATATTGATTGCTTGATTGTGCTGTTAGGTACATTAGATTGCACAGAAATCAAAATTAGAAGAATTAAATGAAGGACAAAGATCTCCATTGAAATACCAAATTTGCTTTAGAGCAACTCCCAAAAATACAGACAGAGCCAGATTAGTAACAATTGTACTCACTAAGGTTGAGTCAAATACCTTAAATGCAGCTATCAATGTTTATTCAGCATCTAAATAAGAATTATACCTAAATATTTTTGATATTACTTACAGGTATTTAGCATTTAAGGTGGAATCTTTTCTTGAATTGTTTGATTTACCTTCAAAATATAATCATTATGCTATCCCACGAAAAATTATTATTACATAAAAGTAACTTTGACTTTATCATATTACTATATTCATATTAAACAAGGAATTTATAGCTTACTAGAGATGTTGATATAAGTAGAGGTTGATTAAATTTCAAATCTAGAGTAATCTTTTTCTTTTGATATTCTTAAACAGTCCAGTTAACAATTCTCACATTACGAGCTTGATCAGTTTTAATTAATTAAAGATACATTGCCTAAGAAATTTATGGGTAATACTATGAGTCCCAAACCTTAAGATTAACAGGAAAAGTAATTTCAAGTCTTCCTACTTATGAAACCATTGATATTATAGGCAAACAACTTTCTTGATTCTATAAAGGGCATTTAGAAATAGCTACTTCCTCTATTGTCTCAACCACTTCAATTTTGAAAGATTTCTTCAGCAGAGTAATTCCAGAATCTTTTGAATCAGTGAATTTAATACCTATTTAATATGTTCCAACATGCTTTTTCTTTGGGTTCATTTCAAATATATTTCCATTCAGCAAAGTAAAGTCTTTTATTGCGTTATATTCTATTAGAACATTTACTCCTTCGATATCGAAAATCCTTTCTGGTAAAGTGTAAGTGGACTCGATATCTGTGTAGATTTTTTTGTCTATGAGGTTTAAATCTGTAACTGAATTTACCTTCTCTAGATAAGCCTAGGGTAAAAGTACAACAAGTGTAACTAAAATATATGCTTTTTCCTCGTTAAAATCATTATAAGATTGAATATAAAACCTATAATATCCATGCTTTTTCCTCGTTAAAATCATTATAAGATTGAATATAAAACCTATAATATCCGGCTTAATTATACCTAGTACTATGATATTTGATTGTTCCAGTTACTGGATCAAATTCTACGATTTCAGAATTAAACTGATAAGAAGGATTTTGTTTAAGCTTAAGCTTGTATCCACATCTTGAGGGATAACTCGAGCTGAAATAATTATAGACCACAATTTTTTTAGGACTTTCTAGTATCGTATGATTAAGTGAAATCTCTGATATATTTACTTTTATGTCTGCTTTAATACAAGAAACCTCAACCGTAATGTGATAGAAATTATACTAATCTCTGTCAGTAAGGAAAATTTAAACTTTAATGTAATATGTTGCTTAATTCAAGTCTGAATCTTCTTTTAATGTGATTTACTAGCCTTGTTTCTCAACAAAAAAGTTTGGGTTAGTTAGCTAATTATAGTTAGAGTCATAAAATTCTATTGAATAGGAAGGTTTTATTTCACAAATGTCATAATTATTTTCTGGGATTAATGTCAATCCATCATATGCAAATTCTTTGATATAATACAATTACTACCCTTACTCTAGGTAAAAAGTGAAATTTGTTGTAAGTGGGGAGTTGGCCAAGTAGCAATTATCATTGGAGGTGAATATATCAGATATGCTTTTTAGGGTATAATTAGTTTGTGTTGCTAATATCTTTTATAGAGTTTCAAACGAAGATGGATATCCTTATATGAGTTAATAGCGAGTTAATGTGATATTAGTTGCATTACCTTCATTATACTAATAAAGAATACAAGACATGTCTTAATTTGTTGAGTAAATATAAGACAAGTAATTACTAGAATTTGAACTTTAAAGATTCATACAATTGACTCCATTTTTTGAATACTCAACAAAAAGCATAGCAGAAGATGATTTTTAAAATATGCCGAATGATTATTAATTATTGGCTTAAGTTTTGTATGATTTTATCACATAGGTAGTATTTCCAAACTAGTAAAAAATATATTTAAAATCAGAGTTCTCATTAATTCCATCTCTAACGATAGCAGATAAAAATTGTGCAGTAACATTTGTCAGAATTTTTAAATCCAAGCATGTAGTATAATCTTATGTAATAGCTTATAGAACATCTGATGTCCCACTTCAAACATTATACCGCCCAAAAAACAAGTTATTTGATGAGGGTGTTTCTTCGCAAGAAAAAAATGTTTTATCATCATCAAGCAATTTGATTAATCTTCCTCTTGAAATATATTGGTTCTATCCAAAATAAATAGGATCATTCACAAAATTTTTGTCAATGTAGTAGAATTCAAATTATTCTAATTAATATCCAGCATATATCAAATACTTGCACGTACTACAACTGCCAGCAATGAGCTACTAGCCAGAATCAAAATAGTCATAAAATATGTTAATTCTCATCTTGGTTGTCATCTTAATTTCTGATGTAGTTAGATTGATTGAAAAGAGCCAAACATTTCCAATTCCTAAGTTATAGTCAATAACACTAGAGTATAATGTGGAATTAGAATCAATATAAACATTTACAGTTTCTTAAGCTTAATTCGAAGGCTAGTACAAGTGCTATTTTAAAATCAAACCATCAGTCACATTTATTACTAGATACTCCAACCCTGGTCTATTCAATTGAACGAAAACAGATGAGTATGTCGTATTTATCAATTGAAGGAAGCTCACTGCGAAATTTTTTTAATAACCACTAATTATTCTCATCCATTTGTTTTGACCTAATTCATCAAAGTATCCAACAACAGGATTTTCATAATTATCATTTTTCGCTTAGATACTTCCTCCAGCAACTATATTTGAATATGGATCACTATCTAAAAGAAATAGCTTAACATCTTTGTCATTTTCAACCAGAATTGGAAAAATAGATTGTTTGATTGTGCTTTACGGTACATTGGCTTGCTCAGATATCAAAATTAGAAGATTTAAATGAAGGACAAAGATCTCCATTGAAAGTACTCTTCTATTTAAAAAGTACATATTAATAATTGTATTATAATAAAACTTAACAAAATATCCAAATAATCCTTAACTATTCTTTTTGATACACAAAGGATTCATGGGGTTTTGGGGTTTTGGGGTTTTGGGG